TTGAGTACCCTCTCCTGCGTAAGGAGAAGCTGGGGTATACCCTTACGGCGTCACACTTAATTCCTGAGCACTTCGTGTGTGAGACTTAGGTGGTGGCCCTCGTGAGCACCCTGGTCCGGGCGGCAGACGAGCCTGGCGATGAGTGAGAAGCCGGACACGGAAGTAAAGCAGAGGGAGAGAGATGCAGAAGATGTGAACCTGGTGGGGTTGGGTAGCAGTCATTAATGTTGGAACAGAGCTAGGGTGGGAGAAAGGAGCGGGTTTGGGCAGGGCTGGGGGTAGTGTGCTCTAATGTAGATCTGGCAGTGTGGTTTAGGGAGCTAGCCCAAGGCGATAGTCATGCTAGCTACAGCCCTCAGCCTGGCCCGTCTGTCCCCACACAGGCTCGGGAGCACATGGAGGGCTGCGGCCCAGATGCCAGTGCAGTACACAGCCCTGCAGTCCCAGAACGTCAGGAACAGTCTGGACCAGCTGCAGGGCCTGCAACTCAGCCTGGGCTCTACAGCTACATAAGAGATGATCTGTTCACCTCAGAGATCTTTAAACTGGAGCTGCAAAATGTGCCTCGCCATGCCAGCTTCAGTGATGTCCGGCGCTTTTTGGGCCGTTTTGGTCTACAATCCCACAAAATCAAACTCTTTGGACAACCACCATGTGCCTTTGTAACATTTCGCAGCGCTGCTGAACGAGACAAGGCCTTGCGAGTGCTGCACGGCGCTCTCTGGAAAGGCCGCCCACTCAGCGTGCGCCTGGCTCGACCCAAGGCTGACCCCATGGCTAGAAAGAGGCGGCAGGAAGGTGATGGTGAGCCATCAGTTACACAGATTGCCGACGTGGTGACCCCTCTTTGGACAGTACCCTACTCCGAGCAGCTGGAGCAGAAGCGGCAGGAATGTGAACGGGTGCTGCAGAAACTGGCCAAGTGAGTGTGGCACTGACGTCCCTACCAGAGCTGGGTTTTGCTCTTGGCCTACTCCACCACCCTTATAGTCTGTTCAGGACACCCACAGGGTCTAAGTCTGCGGTTCTCAGCCAATGGGTCATGTCCTCTTGGGGCCAGTCAAAAGGCCCTTTTACAGAGGTCATCTAAGACCACTGGAAAAGATATTTACAATTAGTAATAGTAGCAAAACTAGTTATAAAGTAGCCCCCAAAATCATTTTATGGTTAGGGTCACCACAACATAAGGAACTGTATCAGAGGATGGCAGCATTTGGAAGGTTGAGAACCACCTAGTCTAAGTGATCAACCAAGGAGCTAGTTAGTAGTGCCCCTATGGTACCAGTGGGATAAGTCTCAAAGGAACTGCCTCATGTGGGTGGGGAACGGTGTAACTCCAACCCCAACCATGATGTGCTTCATTCTACAGGGAAATTGGGAGCACTAACCGTGCCCTGCTACCCTGGCTGCTCACTCAGAGACAACGACACAATAAGGCTTGTTGCCCACTGGAGGGGGTCAGGCCATCACCCCAGCAGGTCAGGCTGTCTACAAAACTTCATTCTATTGCAAGGGGAGAGGGAGGTTGGCCTTGTTTAGTTTTGTCATGCAGTGCTGGGGTAAAACCCAAGGCATCACACATTAGGTATATACTTTAATGCTAGGCCAGTCCATCATCATCCTATTTTCTATAAACTTTCCTTATCCTCTTTGCCATTTTCTTGCTATTTTCTTCCTGGTATTAGACAAGCCAGCAGTAAAACCTTGTTTTGCCTGCCAACCCTATCAGGGTCTCTTGTTCACTACGGTGTTTCTTCTGGTGCTGGGCAATCGAAGTTGAGATCTGGCTGCCTCTTTGCCACCTTCTCTCCTGCAGACTGAATATCGTAATAAGTGTGAGTTTCTGGTCGGAGTTGGGATAGATGGAGAAGACAACACTGTTGGCTGCCGGTTTGGCAAGTACAAGGGTGGAACTTGTGCTGTGGCAGCCCCCTTTGACACTGTGCACATTCCAGAGGCCACTAAGCAGGTGGTGAAGGCCTTCCAGGAATTCATTCGGTGGGGACCTGGCCTGGGGATGGGTTCCTGGGAAGTCCTAATCCATCTGGGAGCAGAGGGTGTGGTGGGCCTTGCCTTGGCAGTTATGGGGTGAGAGGCAGGCTGCTGGGACAGACAGGCTCACACTAGGTACTAAAAGACACTTGTGGCTTCCTCAGGTCCACCCCATACTTGGCATATGACCCCGAGACATATACAGGCCACTGGAAACAGCTGACTGTTCGTACCAGCCGCAGAGGCCAGGCCATGGCCATTGTCTACTTCCACCCCCAGGTCTCAGGCAGTGGTCTTGTTGGGGGAGGTCTTGTTGGCTTTTGCTTAGTCTGATGGACTTTTTGTATTTTCTACTGCAGAAACTGAGCTCAGAGGAGATGGCAGGGCTGAAGGCCTCCCTGGTATACCATTTCATGGAAGGACCAGGCAAGGCCAGTGGAGTGACTTGCCTCTACTTTGTAGAGGAGGGACAGAGGTGAGGAGCCCAGGAGGGGACAGGAAGAGTCTTCATTCAGATAGGCCAGTGACACTGACAGATCTGCTGCTTCTCATGTAGGAAGACTCCCAGCCAGGAAGGCCTGCCCCTGGAGCATATGGCTGGTGACCAGTGCATCCAGGAGGACCTGCTGGGACTGACCTTCCGCATCTCCCCTCATGCATTCTTCCAGGTACCATGTCCCTTATGAACACAAAGACACAGGGAGGCTGGGTGTGAATAGCAAGTGTGGTGTGAAGGGGAAAATGATAGTAACTAGCCTTGAAGAGATTTATAGAGAACATCCAGGTAATGGAGGTCCTAGGCAAAAGAAAGGGGTAATTTGCCATTGATTGATTACTTTGTGGTTAATCCAATGATATTTGTGGCCTTATTTGTCTCCTGCTGAACCCAGAACAGGATACTATTGATAGTAGTCTCCTTGTTTTTGAGATACTGTTGTAGAAAACCCTACTATGAAGGTAGAGGGGGGAGAGATCCTAAGGTATGCAGTCACTCAGTTGGCCTGGGGGGAGTTGTGAAGTCAGAAAAAAAAGCTCCGCATTGATGGGGGGTGCGTTGTAAGGATTTAGTCTTTAGAAGTCAGGAGAGTGGATGAGGTCACTGGTATACAGAGAGGGATCCAAGCAGTAGGGGGTGCTGGCCTACATTGGAGTACACCATGGCTAACTAACCTCTAGGTAAACACACCTGCAGCTGAGGTGCTCTACACAGTCATCCAAGAATGGGCTCAGCTGGATGGGAGCAGTACTGTGCTGGATGTGTGCTGTGGCACTGGCACCATAGGCCTGGCCCTGGCCCGGGTAAGCCTCCCAGCCCTGGGTAAGGACATCTCCCTACTGAGTGCTGAAGCTAGCCACTATCACAACCCAGATACAGCCTAGTTGTGTCTCTTCCTGTCATGAGCAACCAGGGAAATGAGGCTTATCTATTTCTCCATTTCAGAAGGTGAAGAGAGTAGTTGGGATTGAGCTGTGCCAGGAAGCTGTGGAGGATGCCCGTGTGAATGCCCTCACCAATGGTGAGAACCTTTGCAAGCACAACACAGCAAGCAGGTGGTCTACAATCTGTCTTGAGGGTCTTGGGGAGTGGGGCTCTTTACGGACCTCTGAAGGCAGAAAAGCTTGGGCCACATACTCTCTAAGCCTGCTAGGTCTTCCCAGTACCAGGCCCAGAGTTCATTATGACAACTATGACACTATCTTCTAGAGTTGAGCAATGTTGAGTTCCACTGCGGCAGAGCTGAGGATCTTGTGCCAGGCTTGGTGAGCAGGCTGTCCTCCCAGCAACTTGTAGCTATCCTAGACCCGCCACGGGCTGGCCTACGTGAGTGGCTTCCATTTGGGGAGGTAGCACCAGAAGAAAAAAAAAAAAAAAATGCTATGTTGGGTAGTCTACTACTAGGAGAGACTAGCCCCTCTGTGCCTTGTCAGATTCCAAGGTGATACTGGCCATTCGTAGAGCTGAGAACATCAAGCGACTTCTGTATGTTTCCTGCAATCCCCGGGCAGCCATGGGCAACTTTGTGGAGTAAGTGGGGGAAGAGAGGGTAGGAATATATATACCATGATAATACTTGGTATATTATAATACCAACTAATATTGGTACCTCCTTCCCACCACAGCCTCTGTAGGGCCCCATCTAACCGAGTAAAAGGCATCCCATTCCATCCAGTCAAGGCTGTGGCCGTGGACCTGTTCCCACAGACTCCACACTGCGAAATGCTCATCCTGTTTGAAAGGATGGAACAACATCCTAATGGCATTGGAACCCTGGGGCATCAAGACTCTCCAACTACAAGAGATCTTCTTGATAGCACGCCACTGGAAACAGAGACTGCTCTCTCATCCTAGGTTCTGGGAACTGCAGAAATATAGCTCCTACAGCTTCCTACTAAGATGATGGGCAGGCAAACAGTGGTGGGCATGAGGCCTACCTAGCTGGTACTGATTCAAAGAGTACGGACACCTGTATCCTGTAATGGGACTCTATAATAAACAGTTGTTGATTTGCTGATATTGTGGTGAGAGCCACAGCCTTGACTCATTCCTACTTGATATCCATTAAGGTACAAAAGAGTAGGTCCTCAGGCCTAGGCCTGGTGAATCCTTTCAGAAAGAGGCAGGAAGGATTGGAGACTCAAGTCTCTGCAGCTGACCTTGAATTCAAGATCTTTCATGTTAAACTTCCTTGGTGCTGCAGGCCTATGACTCCCATAGATCAGCCTATGTGTGTTACTGTGTCCAGCTTCACTGTGTGCTTAATGGAATGCCAGGGATTGCTTAAAATTAGTACCACAATGGAGGTTGTAGGACCAAATACCCATCAATCAAGTATTCCAGGGGAGTGAGCACTGAGGGTGGACCCTGCAGGTAGTAACTGCTGAATACACATCTATGCTGAGTTAACATGAGATTAGTTGTGTACCCCTAAAAATACAATTGACTCCAGGACTATCTGGCCAGTTGAAGATCCACAAACATCCAGTAATCGGAAGAAAGAAACCAGCCATTCCCTTTTGGACAGTTTTATGTGTTCAGACCATCAGGGTGTGTCCTACAGCCATGGCCAGCATCCACACAGGCTTCCAGCATTGTAGCATGGCTGTGCATTTAAGACTCACCCACCTGTAAGAGACAGGGAGGGCACTGGAGGCCAGGAGTGTGTGGCAGCACCTGTTGTTGACATTGGCTGGGCCAGTGGGGTTATAGAGAGATCATCATGACCATGTGTTCAAGGCCTGCTTTCTCAAAGGCAAATCTGTCTGTTTGAAGGGCAATGGTCAGTCAAAAGCCCAATCACAACTGTGAAGGGAAGGCAAACAAGGAATCAAGTGTCCAATTCTAGCAACTTGATTTGGAGGGTCCTTTTTGCCCAGATTAACACAGAAGTTAATTGCTATCACACAGGTGATTGGGGAGGAATAATTGTGTTAGGATGCCCATAGCTGCCATCCTTTTCTGACAACACATGCCATCCATGTATCTTCAGGTACAGATGAGAGACACACCTGAGAACATGAGTACAGTCTCTCTGAACAGGTATTGGGGTAAGCCAACACTGACCAAGACTCAGGCTCTCAATATACCTCTACTTAATGCCCTAATCCAGGGGCTACATAGTGAATATAGATGGACAAAAAACTAAAACCTGCCACCAGGCCTGGCTGCACAGAGCAACCACACTTGAGATCCAGAAAAGCCATAACTACTTGTCACACGCAATGCCAGCTCTTGGTCAGTGATGGGCTGCACTGAAGGCCCTGTTTCCTATTTATACAAGTCCATCTGTTGAAATGCATGATTCTAAATCTATCTTCCATTTTCACTGTAAAAGTTTTTCCAAATTCTAAAACATCATAAAAGCTTTAAAAATTGAAGAACAGATGGACTTGATTGTGCAAAAAATCTTTGTAAAAAACTGTTGTTAGAATTCATCAAAGGTGAGAGCTTAGGTATCCAGAAGACAGCTGTGAGGGTATTAAGACATAAAAAAATGTAGACTGCAACCCAAGAGCCAACCAGATTAACACTCAGTACCTTAACAGTTCAGTACCTTCACTGCAATCTCTGAAAAGTAGTTCTGGTGCTAAAATTTTGTTTTATTTTAAGCCAAAATAGCCTGAAATAATCCTTTCTGTTATAACCTTTTCAGAGGAAAATGAGAAACAGACAAAGCAGGTAATAACTACAGGACAGGATACCTGCACCTTCTGACCAGGTCTCACTGGCTCCACCAGAAGGAACCATGGGCAAAGGGGCTACCTGGCATCATAGGCCAGCCAAAGCTATAAAACCTGGTCATCTCATCTATCAACCAAGCATCACTTCTTGTCAGTGCATATAGTATACTAAAATTCATGAAAACCTTCATAAAAACAGTCGGCAGCAGATACATACAAGCAAGATCTACAGCTGTCTATCAGCTTCCACTTGTGCAGTTACTTATAGCTGATCCTTAAATATATCAAGTCACACTGACAGCATCTTCCAGAAGAACTGCTTCTTTGCACGTGTGCTGTGTGGTCACAGCTGTCCCCACGTGTCAGAGCAGAGCCCAGACACTGCCGCAGGAAAGGAACTTAGGTTGGAGGCCTGGTGCTGCAGTGATGTGTGGCTGGTGGTCTCCTGGGTAGCACTGTTGGCCCATGCCGCCTACCTCATACATCCACTGTGCACAAGGGCTCACCACCAGGCTGGGCAGATGCTACAATTGACATCTTGGGCTTCTTCCGAGTCTCCTCCTGGAAGAACAGAGGTCAACAGTGTTAGAGGTGGGTCCAGCAACGAGGTTCACAAAGGTGAAAGGGTGGAAGCCCCTGAATTCCGATAGCACAAATGCTTGTGATACCTGGCTAGGAGGGAAGGTACAGGGAGCGGGCTGGGTTGGGCCAGGCCAGGAGGGTCTCCTCAGAATGCCAGGGTAGACTCCCATGTGCTGCTGCTTCCCTGGCAATCTAGAGACACCCAGAACGGAAGAATTTGCAACAAGCTGGGATCCACCCCACCAGGGTGAGTGTTATCCTAGCCTTGCTTGCCTGGAAGCCCACTAAATTTCCCCCCAAAATAATAGAACCGTGTGTCTTAGGCCTGTTGCCTTAATCCCCACAACTAACCAATCTCCCAAAAAGACTCAAGCTTACTCCAACAGACAAGACCCACTCCCACCTGAGAGCAGTAGAAAGACAAGTGGCCAATAGACACTTGGTCCTCAGAGTTTGTGTTCATACCTGGGCCAGTGTCAGCAGAGCTGCATTGGCTCTCAACTCACAAGGCCTAAGGGTGTGAATGGCTGTATTTCCTAAGTCCAGGAAACAATGTCAGTAACAGAGCCCACTTGGGATAGGGCAGCTTTAGGAAATTCCACCAAGACTAACAAGTTCTACCCAGTCTTAACCGTTCTATGATCTTTGAGTTATCCAGTAAAAGGCCAGGACACAATCCTGGCTCTCATCTCATACACTGGACTTTAAATTGGAACCTTTAGCCACTAAAAAAAAAAAAAAAAAAAAAAAAGGCTGGCCTGTTTGCTCTCTAACTCTGTGTTTTGGGAAAGTGCCATCCATGCTAGAACTTAAAGAAATGCCAACTTGCCAGGTGTTGGTGGCGCACACCTTTAATCCCAGTACTCAGGAGGCAAAGGCAGACAGATCTCTGTGAGTTCGAGGCCAGCCTGGTCTCCAGAGCGAGTGCCAGGATAGACTCCAAAGCTACACAGAGAAACCCTGTCTCGAAAAACCAAAAA